CACACACACACACACACACACACACACACACACACACACACACACACCTTGAGCTCCGAGTTAAGGGAAAGTACAAAGAGGGAATAAGGGTGGAAATCAATACCGAAAGTCATGTGTTAGTACACAATGAACTGACCTGACATTTGGCTGGATGAAGCAATAGCTAAGAATTCTTACTGCCAATAAACATCAGAAAATCTGCTATAACTATAACACTGAATCAATATTTTCTTTTGACAACAAGCCAGCTATTTACAGTCTACTTTAAAAGTCACTTACCCATTTTGCTCTTGAAAGTATGCTCAGAGTCTGTAAACTAAGACCAGATTAGCAATTATGAAGTCGGTCCGCAGGTGTAAGAGACTTAACTGGGTTTGCAATGTAATTTGTTCAGCAACAGCGATCAATGTTAATGTGAATTTTCACAAGGGCATCAAAAACAGTCTGTGAATTTAATTTTTTTGTCAGGTGAAGAGCAGACAGCTCAGATGGAGGCAGGAACACAGCAATACCCTTGCGTCGGTTTGTGAAAGTCACGAAAGGTGTCTAATTAACCAGAAAAAGCAGCTAGAGCCACAGAGGGCCAGACTTCCGGTCTTTTTCCCCCCCCCCCCCCCGCCTTCATGTATGACCGACTGCATCCCTAGGCTCAGGGTCCAGGTCATCTGACCAAGGTATGACACTCATCACTGCATGAGTGCACACCTCCTCCCACACCCCACAAACCTGCTCTTTGAGAGATCTGAGTCTCCCCTACCCCAGAGGAATTCAGAAAGAGAACAGACCCAGAGAGATACAAAGAGAGAAGGCAATGACATGGTAAAAGTGGGGACTCGGAAGAAATAAACAAAATGGATGCAGGCGGATTAAAAGTGTCCTAACGCATGGATGGCTTACAGGTGATTTCACAGCCTGTGATGCTGGGAGGAAGAAAGCAGAGCTGGTCCAAGGGCTTTCCAGCTAAGCTAGCAGAGAGCCAAGTTTCAGTGAGGGAAGTTCTGGAGATGGACGGTGGTGATAGCCTAACACATCAGAAAAGAGTCAATGCGGAACTGGAGACGGTTCCGTGGGTGGAGTACTTGCTGCTCAAGTGTGAGGACCTGAGTTCGGATCCCCAGGATACACACACAGCTGAGCACATATGTAGCAACATATGTAATCCCAGGGGAGGAAGGCAGAAGAGTTCCCAGAAGCTCAAAGGGCAAATTAGCGAGGTGCACACAGGGACAAACAAGAGGCCCTGCCTCAAACAAGATGGCAGGTGAACACCAACACCCAAAGCTGTCCTCTGACACATGGAACACACACACCAATAGAAAATTAATTATTGTAGCATAGCTTAAATTGCAGTGCAGTCTGTGATAAGAGCTTTTCTTAAAGTC